TTTCAGTGATGTCAAATGATAATACAAGGTGCAACAGATGCAAACTGGAACATAGGAGGTTCCTCAAAAACATGAGGAAAAACCTTTTCGCTGTGAGGGTGCCAGAGCACTGGCACAGGCTGCCCAGGGAGGTTGTGGAGTCTTTTTTGGAGACATTCAAAACCTGCCTGGACGCGTTCCTGTGTGACCTACTGTAGGTGATCCTGCTCTGGCAGGGGGGCTGGACTAGATGATCTTTTGAGGTCCCTTCCAACCCTAAACACCCTGTGACTCTGTGTGACTCTGTAACTGAATTTCTAAGTGATTGCTGTAAGCCAGTAGAGAACAGAGCTTGTAGAGACACAAGGAAGTGTGAATTTTAACAGGAGAACTGAAAGAAATTGAAATTTGAACTGAAACCTTTAGTATATGTACTGTGACAGCATTGTGTTGGGCTCTAGGGCAGCCTTTCAGAGGAAATTTTGTAAGTAACTCAAATCATTTAAAGTAGATTAGAAAGATACACTAGAAAATGTTAAGTGGGAAGCCTTCCTGTATTTCAACTGTAAATTTAATGTGTTTTGTATGTTTGATGGATGCAAGCAGTATTTTTAAAACTGTTGCAGATGTTAAGACGTATGTTCTGTTCATTTAAATTTACACACTTGACCCTACTTCTCTGGTTTGTGCAACAGCAGAAGCAAACAGATGTGATTTGTTTCAGTGTATGTGCGTTCCACATATATGCAGAGTCGGGGCTAAATGCACATGCTACTGCTATTTTTCTGTATGTTTCTGCTTTCTTTTTTCACTTGCTTGCACTACGCTCCTGACTTTTGTGGTTGTCATTCATTTTGGAGGATTTCGGAGTTATTAAATGATCATCTCCCTTTGGTCTCACAATGTCTTTAATTCAGCAGCTGATACCTTCTAGTAACCCAGGTTAGCCCTGACAGACTCTATTAGGGTGAACTTGAAAGTGTAATTAAACTAAATCAAGTGTTCTGAAAACCTTGGGTACATCTACATCCCTCTTTCCC